ACAGGTCAAATTTCAGAGTTTAAATTAAATACTTATTTTTAATATATAATAAACAATGCATTGCTAAAAATGAAAACGAAACTCACTAAATAGTATATATAAATGCTGCATTTTTTTTTTTAATTCTCTAATTGGTGTTAAGTTATTTACATAATACAATGACTTCAGCAATGCACAAGCTTGACGCAATAATGATACTGATTAAGTTGCTAATACCTTATTTTTTGTAACTAATCATATAACATTATGATAATGTGGTTTACACACAATATAAAGACATGTTCCGAAAGTGAGAGTGAGATATATTTAATAAAAGTGTTATTTTTTGAAATTTCACGTTTGAAAAAAAAGAAAGAATACATTAATGCAGTGAAGTGATTGTTTGGTCCACAAGGCTTGCCAAAAGTTGTAATAGTTTGCAGTTTGGATATGACTGCTTGCCAACGCAACACATACCAACAATTTAGATGGATCTAGTTTTCTTAAACCCACTCACTATAGAGAAATAAATAAACTAAAATAGAGAATTCTATCATTCTTTTTCAACACCAACCCTCCCAAATTATTGTATTTTTTTTTCTATGTTTATGATACATCCTAGCTATCTATACTTATTTATGTCTATAACTTTTTCTCATGTTTATGATAGTAATTCTAATGATGGGTATTCAAAAGTCTACTTCAATTTCTTTTAAGGATGTGCCACTTTTCTTTTCGTGAAAAAATTATTTTACACATGTAAAATTGTTTTTGTCAATGTGTTATTTTGGAGTAAGGTGAGCATTTGAGTTTTTTTTTATAAATTTATCAATCTTAATAATTTTATTTCAATATATTTAAGATCATAATGTTAGTATTATGTTTAGGAGTGAAAATTCTCTTAATTTTCGAACGAGATTTGTTTTGGTACATCTAATATTACTTAGTATATCATTATTTAAGAGTTGAGACTAAAAATAATTAACTATATTTTTCCCTTTTAATTTTTTAAAATAAATTTTAAGAATAAAATCGTGAAAAAAAATCAATTTTATAATAATTTTAAAAAAATCCAGAAAAATATTTGATGTGAAGCATTAATACTTGGCCGAACATTTCTATTTGGTTTTGCATTTTAGTCTTTGTATGATGAATTATACGTGCTGTTTAAGCTTTGCTTTTTGTAAATAATTTTTTTCATATATTCTAAATGAGTTGGCAGAAGCTGTGACTTTCCGACATTGGCTCAATGGGCTGTTTTCTTGTCAAATGGGTACCAAACTTTGGTTTAAAATATATATAAAAAATACAATATTTTAGTTGGTGTTATGTTCCAAATTAAATAAAATTGTGAAATAGTAATATTATAACACAATTTTATATTTATTTAACACACATAGGAATAAAATAATCATAAAATATAAATTTTTATATTTTTAAAAATAAATAAAAAATAAGAAAAGATAATGTTAAATAAATATAAAAGTAGTGAAAAGTGATGTTAGAATTACCAAACCCTAAACATTCTGAAATGTCATATGATGTAAGAAGTTGATGAAATGTGTCATGAATACGTCATCTAAGTTTATTTTTTAGGGTTATAGAATAGTGCATATTTTGTTATGGTAGTGGATTGCAAGAATTCAAAGTTAAATGGGAGAAACGTCCACGCTTTGATGTATTGGTATTCAACGAATTGACAAGTAATCATTGGTAGAAGGTTTCAAAATCATTATTAGTATGAAAATGAAAACAGATTTCACATAATATCAACATTAATACACATTAATAACGTCAAAATGAGTTTTTATAACGTCTTTATTACGTCCAATTAGGAATATTTTATGTACAATTAGAACAGCATTTTCAACAAATTAGAAGGAGATTTCACATTAGATAGTTAATCTGCAAGTATTATAATTTTTTTAGGTTTTTAAGCCACACCTAAAAAGACTATTAATTAACTATTTTAGAAAACGGGTTAGTAGCATTTCTTAGTATATCTTTACTATTAGTTAGAATTTATTTAAACTATAAAATTACGAGTAAAACTTATAAGTACCTGAAATTCATAAATTTGTGTGATTTCACCAAATTTAGTTAAATATAAAAAAAAAGTATTTAAAATGGTATGTTTCTAACCTTTTTTATACTGTAAACAATTAGGAAATTTTGATTGATAAGTAACTTTTATACTAATGTAATTTGTTAATAATGTCACTAAAATTTCGTCGTAGAATCAATTTTTTGTATCTCAATATGTCAATTTGTAAATTTGAATCAGTATAATTATGTAACTTTATTTGTTATATATTAATATTAATGTAACGTAATGTAATTTTTTACATGTTTTTAAAAATATACATTTAATTATCTTTTTTAATTATTATTATTATTCAATTTTAAAATTTGACACAAATGAACTAAGTCCCAATTCAATAATTGACTTGAAAAATCATATTTTATATAAAATTATGAATAACGTAACAATGGATTTAATTCCTATCTAGTATAAACTGATCCCTTTCCTTTAAATATTTAAAATATAAGGCAATCATTTTTTTTTTAATCTTTTTCGTTTTTTGTTACAAAGTTAAAAAAAAGGTAAAAAGAAATAGAATAAAATGGTTTTATATTTACAGCATAGTGATCAATAAAATAAAATACAATTTCTCTTCTTTTTTTTAAACAATTGCTATTTTAAAAGGTAGTGATTTTTTGTTCTCTTATGTCTATGTAAAGTTTTTCAGGAACCACGTTATAATCATCATTAGATATGATTATGCAAACTAAAAAGCATTATTATTAAAAAAAACTAAAAAGTGTTAAAATAATTTACTTATATTATAAAGAATAAAAATTGGCAAAAGGTCTAAAATTTAGGTAGATTTCCCTTTAAAATTATCGATATTTTCAATAGATTGGTAAAATGAAGCACTAAAAGTAAAGTGGACCCAATAATAATGATTAAAAAACTCTAATCAAAATAGTACAAACTTTACAGATTCTTTGTTCATTCTTGTTTCATCAGATGAAGTGGGACCTATGGCCAATTTGAAATGAAGAAAGAAAATTTTGAAATTTTATTAGAAGAAAAAGTTGAAGAATAAATCATTTATATTTTTTGTTCACTTTATTTGTAATCATAGAAAAGTAAAATACTTGTTTATTTTTGTTTTCTTTCCGCTCTTTTTTCTTTCCTCCATCCACATATAGAATACTAAAAATCCAAATGGAAAAAATATAATTTTAGTATATTTTAATGTAAAAAAATTTAAAATATTAACGAATTAAAAATTAAGTGTAAATTTTTAATAATTATTACAGAAATTAATAATCTGACCATATAGATGACATTTGTTATTAGATAAGGGTGTAAAAAAATATTATTAGTGTATTTTAATTAAACTTAGAACCAAACATCTTGTAACTCGGAAGAAGTTTTTTAATATTGGACTGTAAATTTATCTCCTGATAATTGACTGCAAACATATTATTTTTAAGAAAGTTAAATAATATGAATAATATTTTACATAAAATTTCTTTAAACTCTCATTTCTAAAGCTTTATTCGTAAAAGTAGTTTAGTTAAATAGTAACTTCTATACCAAACCCACCCTAGTTTAACATATATCATGACATCTTGTATTTATCTGATAACGTGTGAAATAATTAAAAAATTATAATTAAATTACACTTTTATTACAGAAAAGTACTAAAAGATATAAGTTACTTTAGATTATGTCATTAGAGGAAAGTAGTTGTTTTATTTTGGGGGTTATAAAATAGTAATTATGGGGGCTTTAGATAGTAAACTAACTTTGGGTTTGCTGGTGAAGAAGAAAAGAAACAAAGCTTGGGAGTGAGCTTTATTAGTCTTAATTTATATTGATTACTTGTTGGAATTAAAATTATTAGACAATTTAAAAGTTAAATATATCTTGAATAATACATTATATATTATTCTCATATATAAATATTAAAAATAGTATTATTCTCACATATATCTTAAATAGTCTTGTCTTTTTTCATCAATCTCACAATCTTCATTGTTACCTTAATCTTGAATTTTTTGTCTTGTGCAACCAACACCACAAAGGTCAGTTTCTCAGAATCCTTCTCTACTGTATAATATTTGTTTAATCTTAGCGATTTAATCAGATGACTTAAAATTAGTTTCAATTGGAGAAGCCTGTAAGGTGTACAGAGGAAATTTGTTTTCTTTGATTCCATTTTTTTATTTTAATCTTAAACTTTAGTTTACATTAATTTATTTATAAATTAGTAGTTATATTTTCACGGTTACATGAATCTTTTTATATGTAATGTTTCTTTAATATATATAATTGAATAGTTTTTGTTAGAACTATCTGGTTCCCGATTTTTCAGTAACAAAGCTAATATTTGCCGGGTCCAAAAATTGAATAAAATAATATTGTTTCTTCTGGAGAGTATTTTATTCTTAATTTTGGGAGAAACTATTTTTAATGTAAGAGGAGTTTATTTATTTTTATAAGTTTTAAATATTTTTTTTACAAATCTATAAATTGGTATAATTAATTAGCTAATTTGAAATAACATGACGATTTTGTGAATTAACTTTTAAGATTATTGTGATAATAATAGTAGTAATGGAAACTTATAATTTTTTTTTTAAGTTCTGCATTATTAAATTATTAATTCTAAATTATTAGCTTATTAATATTTATAAGTTCCAAATTATTAGATCAGAAATTCTAAATTGCTTATTAATTTTTATAAGTTCTAAATTATTATATTTTTCATAGATTAAGATATTATATATGTTATTTTAGAAATCTTCTTAGTAATGTAATATTTATGTTTCTTTTTAAAAAAATTATAGTATGAAATCTAGTATATTTGGGATTTTACAGATTAATGAAATATGAGAGATAAATAAAACTGATACATTAAAAACAGATTTCCAATGTCCAAAGCACCTGGTATTCAGTGCAGACATTACAATAAAATAAAATTAAACAAAAAAAAAGAGCATACTTATGTAAATGATATAATGTGGATTTTAACAAATGTTGAACTATTCTACAATAGCTGTCTGTAAGACGGTTATCAATAAATACTATACAAGGTACATGGAAAAGACTTTCCAGCACAAACTAACCTCTAATCAGACATGGGCCTGCTGCAGCTTGAGTCAATGACAGGGCTTTGAGAATCTTTTATCGGAACATTAGGCTTCACTTTGGTTCCACCTTTATAACCATCCACCAGTAACTTCCCTATTTTAGATCGCCATTCTGAAGAAAATTCCTCATTTTTCCTGTCATGCACAACTCTGTCACAGTAGTTAAGCATAGTTCCCAGGCCAGTACTGGGCGTCCAACCAAATTCCATTAGCACCTTGGCCTCACCTTCACTCAAATCTTCTCCAACCTATGCAAAGACAATTTTGAGCATAGCAAATTTCAGCTTGGTGTGGGGCAGATAGCAGCAGTAAGAGTAACTTATTGCCTCGATTCAAAGACTTCACATAAAAGGGAAGAACTAAAAATTGGACAGAAATATATAATACACAAGAAAGACTGATGAATTAAAAACAACAAATAAATAAAAGGACAGACTGCAAGTAGTAACTAAACCGGCTTTGGATATTAATTTAGACTCACTCACTAACTGAACATTTAATCTAAAAATTTGGACAATCAAATAACAGGGTAGTTATTAATCATACATGCTTTGCTTTAAGAACATCTTATGGAATGATAGGTTGGCTGACAATTCTTTCATGATACGGGTGTTATACAAAAACAAAATAGTTATAATCGCTTCTCTTTCACAATCAACTCTATATTTTCTATCACTTTGATCCATATCAACTTAAAAGCCAAACTCCATCAAATATTACGAAAAACAAAATCAAAGCATGCTTCCAGCTAACGAAGAGATGCAAAAAGATTATCGTAATTTGGGATTACTGATAGATCTTTTGAGTACAAGCTTAACAGGGAACTTTTATATATAGGTAGCAAAACACAGGTTTGTTTAGATAAGATTCTCCATAAGCTTATTCTAAGAAAAAAAAATTTGAAATTATAGCTTTGCTTAACTTCCGCTAAGCTAATTTGTAAAACTTTTCTCATGATTTTTCTAAATTTATTTTTATCTGTCCACATAAACTTAGTTATCAAGAAGTTCATTTCATTTTTTTCCCTCCTTTGATAGCTTACGAAAAAACTCACGCTAAGAGATTCTAAAGCCATCAAGTAATAATTCATCCAACAGTGTTTAAAATATGCATGAAGTCACTACCACCAATTCTTTATTCTCAATAATGGAAATTCTGCTACATGTAGTCAATTTCATAGCAATCACCAACCGCTTGACCTGCCATTGGACAGGTAAGGATTCTACCAGCTCAAAAAAGTATGTTGCATAACCATATTCAGGACGCTCCAGTACTATCCTGCATTAAAATCCAACTCAAACATCGTGGAATGTAATGACAAGAAAAGAAAAGAGCAAAAGGATGAACTTTTATGCAAATCAAGCACCTGTTATGTCTCTCAAAAACAAAAATAAACGATTGCAAATCTCGGCACCAACCCCACTCAACTGGCCACTTTCGAAATTTTAAATATCGTGTCTGTAGCAGAAAAGATGAACATTACATACATAAACTAAGAATTGATAAGCATAAAAAAAATATTCTACACTGTAAGTTTGTAAGAAACTAATTACCTGCTCCACAAGTGAGAATAGACAAGCAAAGCAATAACTTGCTCTTGAAGTCTTTGAGCCGCTTGTTAAAGGGAATTTTAAAAAAGTGTGTCGTTGAGAAGAAATCTGTCTCCCATTGAAGGGAAAAAATAAATAAATCTAAAGCAATTCATTAAATCCATCAAATAACTCATTAGAAAAATACTTCGACAATTCCATGTAATAATAATAATAATATAAATACTGAGGATTCAGATTTAACCCTTTTTATCAGCAGTAGTTTTTGGAGTTAGTATTATCTGGTCCCATTTAATTATATATCATTATAAATGTTGTGATTGAATTTGGATTATCTAAAATACTAACGTCTTTTCATTCTTTTTCTTCCTAAGAGCACAACAAAGCTAATGATAAACAGTTTCCCCCATTTTAGCTAATAAATAAATTAGTGGAAAATAATGTTCATTTTCTTTTAGTTTATTCCTTTTCTGCCAAACAAACCTGGATTTTTCAAATCAAACTTGCAAACATAATAAAAAAGTTTAAACATGGTATGTTCAACCAGGAGCAGCATGGATGTGAGAAAAATGAAAGAGTGAATCTTGAGCACCCAATCATTCATATATAACTAAACAATAAAGGTTCACTTTCATTTCTCTTATAAAACTAGCTTTTTCTCCCGAGGTTCCATCATAATAACCGATTATTGAAAAGTAATCTGTGTATTTCCTGCTGATTGAAGCAGCAATGAGTGTGGGAGAAAAATCTTGAGAAACACAATGACTCCTTTTCTTCAAAAGGAGATACATTTAATACACCCAAAAAACAGTACCAAAATGTCCCATTTTTATTTAGGAGAATGCTTTATCTGAGAATATCTATCGCAATCATAATTTTCTCAGAAGAGAATAATAGTCAATTATTGTCTACCTATGACATCTTAGTCACAAACTACACGCTAACAAAACCAACAAAGTCATGCCTAACATGTACCCCATGCACAAGATTGTCCAACTTGAGAATTTACCTCAACTCATATAGGCTCTTTACTTAATTTAAAAATATTAAAATAACAATAAATAATGTAGTAACTCAACATATCAAGTTCATAATAAAACAATACAGCAAACCAAAATAATAAAGTAACCAAGTTTGTCAATACAATACTACTAAGTTCAAACTACCTCAAATCATTAACAAATAAAATGCTAACATTGATACCTGTTAATAAAATAACAAATAAAATATTATATTATCTATTATGCTTTAAATAGTTCTTTTTATATAATTTTAATACTACTATACTTTTTATTATTTTAGTTTATTGATTATATTATATGTTATGTTTTACCTAACAAAAAAACACTGTTTGACTCGAACTAAAACATTGACTCTCTCTTTTGATTTAAGATCTGTTGTCTCAACATTAGATCTTTCCCTAATTTAATAAATTTTATTATATACATGCCATCCATGTCCATGTATGACAAAATCTATTTATCAGTAATTATGAAATGAAATGAAAAGGAAAACAATTAAACATTATAACTTACTGATATCTTGAGTTAGTTTGGCCCTGAAATGAAATAAAAGGCAAAACCATTAAGACAATACAATTATAGTATGTTCTTCACCTTGGCCATCACAGCCTCAAGTTCTGAAAAGCTATCTTCACCAAATGATTCATCCAACGTTTCATCATTTTCTTCCTCTCCATAAAGCTTAATTTCATCAACTAACACACCTTTGTCAAGCAATACCTGCCAAATGACATTTGCAAGAACATTAATATAAATTCCAATTTCAGTGACTGTACACAAACTAAAATATTGCACCTGCAGGAGCCCGGGAGCATCCTCCTCAAGTGCTTCCTGAACTGAATCACTGCAAAAAGAATTTAACAGTTGGAGGATCTATTATAATATATGATATGGTTATGGAAGTAAAGTCAGCATAATTTTTAAAGAGGGCAACTTAATACGAGAATTAGATAGTACGTGGCTGTTTTTTTTCTTTTGCGCCTACAGTTGATGCTTGAAGGTTTAGTGGATTTTGAAAAAATAGGGCTCGATAAAGAGGAAAAAGGCTGAATTTTCTTCAAAGATGAGTAGCCTGTAGAAATATGTAAACTAGAATCTGTTCCAGACTTGAGAAAATTTAGTCGATCAATTAACTTCATATGGTCCACTTGATCATCGTGATATTCATTATGGACTTCCCTTTCATGTTTTAAATTTGGGAGTACGATAGAAATCCTACCCAAATAATCCTTGTTAACATTGAGGTTTTCACAGTAATCCCAAGGTTCATCCTTAACTTTGACAAAGGTTGGAGAGGTTGAACTAAATGGGCCATCATTGTTTATGATATTATGTTCCACATGTGAATCAATTTGCATGACTATTCCTCTGGATTTTAATATAGGCCCATCTTCTATAAGGCCAGCTGAAATTACCGATCCTTTTGATTCAGATGAGGCATTATCAGTTAAGAAGGATGATACACATGTGGCTCCAAGTGGTGGCGAAATATTAATTTCTTCTAGGAAGTCATTATTACACTGGTCTCTAACCACTGCTGTTTTCCCATTGGCAGAATTAATCTGGTCATCTCCGTTTTTAAGAGTCTCTTCCATGATGGTTTCCAACAAGCCTCCATTACTACTCTGTTACACAAATAAGTTAAAATTTTAAGAAAGAGATCCAAGCATGATAAAACTGATTGACTTCTGAAAAATCAACATGAGACTATTCTAAGAGAGTATTTGAACAAAGTATTTAAACAACATCCTATTGGTGGTAACATGGCAAAGAAAGTATAGGCATGCCAATTTAAATTAGAAAAGAAAATGACTACATGATATGAACGCAAAACAAAATACTATTTCATATCTCCAGTGTTTGTAAGTCACAGACTAGCAAGAAACTAATACAAAACAAAGGAAAAAGTCATCATTGCAATGCTATTTGCCTCAAAATTCTGTGATTTGAACCATTTGATCGTAAGATTCCAGGCATACTCCCCAAACTAATTCTAATTTTAACAAATACAAATGTGGAATTTCTTCAATATCCACCCTAATGGTCTGTATCAAGGACTAGCAGTTCATTTTTCCTGACATACAATTGAATTGAGCCATGCCCATAAAAAAAAATACAACAAAAGTTATAGGAAATGAGGTGCCGGTTAGTGAGTGATAATAAATTGTGTAGATGCAAAAAAAGTGACTACTCATTAACCAGCAGAAACCATTCTTCAAACATTGTTAATGTTGATGATCGTTCCTGAAATGAAAATATTATTTTACTTTTGAAAAATACAAAAGAATATATAATGAATTTGAGAGAGCATCTACCTCTCGTGGGGTCTCATTTATAGTAACATTGGAGATTTCAGATACAATGTATGAAAGGAAAGAGAAGAGAATAAAAGAAAGGACATATCTAAAAACTAGGTACTGCACAAAGCACACTGCAACTTTTCAATAAATTCCATTCAAAATAACTTATTCTAACAATTTTTATATCAAGAATTCCTTTTTCAGAACCAAAGGGAAGAAAGAAAAGATATGCATTTTGAAAAATCAAGGAAAGAAAGGAAACATCCAAAAAATTTATTTCTCGAAGGTCACAGGCATTGTAATCCTTATTAGCATCTAAGCAATAGATGTATACGCTACGATATAATAATTTACTTATAGTTATCAAGAATTAACGCTAAATCACCAGAAAAGAGTGACAAGCTAGCTATTTTTCAATAAATATAACCAGAAGTGAGTTATGATTAACTCTCAGTCTTTCAACTAAATATGTGATTGAAGTAAATAAAAATAATATTAAATTACCTCTAAAACTGTATTTGACAATCCTGGAAGCTTCCTGCAATAAAAATATATATTATTTGAACCATGTTTAAAGAAACAAACTCTATCTAACTTCCTTCAAACAAAAGGTTCTCACTTTGGTTCTTCACAATGGCAAAAATATGACATTTCATACTTTCGTTGCAATAAGCTTGGTTCTTTAGTCATAAAATGCTTGGACCAAACCGAACAAATTATTTGTTAAAAGAAACTGAAATCAAAAAAGAAAAAACTGAAAGGAGACAAGTGGTTGTGGTATTAAACTTTTAGAATATACATGCCATTCAAAGTTGTTACATCCACAAAGACAAGAACTAAAAGAACATACCATGTAAAAAGAGCAAAGCTAATTTGCATAAATACGTTCTAAATCCCTTTTTTCATTTATTATTTTCTGAAGAGACAATAGGTGTCATCTGGTTAAAAGCAATTCAAGTCCTTTCCAGCAAGCTTATTATTACAAGTCTCTTCCACCCATTGTGAATGATATGCTTTTGGGATTGCCACACAACAAAAAAGCTTGAAACAGCACTCAGCTCAGACTTCTAATAGAATGAGTTCTTAGGGAGAGTTTGGCTTTATAAGGTGGGTTAGTGTCTTGGGACAGACATGTTGGATTGTATATTTGTTGTTGACAGGATTTGTTACATCATGGAAGAAAGGGGATGTTGTTCCCTTGGACGTTTCCAAACACTTTCTTTGTTTCCAGTTTAATAATACAGAGTTTCAATCGTGAGTGTGTGTGTGTTGTGTGTTCGGTATCCTTATTAGAAAGAGTTATGTGTTTCTTGTACCCAAGAAACCTAACATACTTCCAGGAAGAGTAGTTTGATGAGACCATTTGTTGATGGGCCTATTCTTGAATTATTTATTGACAAAGGATTTCTATGATTTTGTTGGATCAAAGAGCACAAACCTGATAATAGGTTTTTTAGACCTATAATGAGATGTTTTAGAAACTGCAGATCTTTATTCCAACAACATACCAAGTTTCCTCCAATGTGGAGAAACCCAACACATACAATTTCTGGTTATTCGAGAGAACCAGACTCTCCACTCTTCCTATTCTTTTCAGAATGTACAAAAACAATGAAAAACTGCCCAAAACAACTGCCTACACATACTTTATAAAATTCTGAGACAATAAAACCTACCCACAGACAGTTATAATTGTTTGTCCCTTTTATTTCTCCTAATATAAATATTTCCCTTGAACCTATCAATACCCCTCCATGAAGTTTCACCTTGTCCTCAAGGTGAAAAGGAGAAAACTCCTTATTGATGGTAGTAGCAACTTCCTAGCTGTTTTCAATGGGTGAGAGGTGTTTTCAACTGGACAAACTACCTTCTTTTTTCCTTATTTTGTAAACTGTATCAAACCTATCAACACTTCCTCCATGAAGGTGCAACTTATCCTCAAGGTGAAATTCTGGAAATTCTTTATGAATGCAGGCAGCAAATTCCCCTAATTCCTGCATTCCCTCCTCCAAAATAAGCAGCACATGGAGCTGTTTATTTTTGCAAGTATGATTAGGCCTAAACTTTTCATCACACCTGAAGCATAAGCCCTTTTTAATCTTATCTTGCAATTCTTCTTGGGAAAATTTTCTAAATGGTGTCCCTCCTTGTTGAGTCCTAGTAGGATAACTATTGATGGTGCTCACACAGCCACTGCTCTCTCCACTTCCTTTGTTGGAGTTGGTAAAACCCACTAGATTTCTCCCTTCCTGTGACTCTAACCTTTTCCTCCACCATTTGAGCCTTAATATTAACTCAACAAGATTATGGGGTTCATAAAGTTTAACCTCCACCTTTATGTCTTCCTTCAGCCCATTCAAGAATATGCCCACCAAGTAATCTTGTTGCATTCCTTTCATGAACGCTGCATATTGTTCAAACTGCTCAATATATTCCCCTATAGGTCCAGTTTGACGCAAGCCAAGCAAAACTTCAAATGGGTTCTACAACATTGTTGGCTGAAATCTTCTAACCACCACATCTTTGAAGGTTTCCCATGTTGGATGCGGATGGCAGGTTTCCCACCATTGAAACCAGTTCAAAGCTTTCCCCTCCAATGCCACCATAACAGCCTTCATTTGCTCCTCCTCACTAATCTTTTCTAACCGCTGGAAGCGTCGGTTATTCTCGTTTGCTTGTTCGTGGACGATCTTCGCCAACCCATCCCATCTTGCCTCCATTCTTGTGTTGACCATAACCTGCAATATGCCCCCACTTCACCAGGAATGAGGCTCTGAATACCAATGATAGGTTTTTTTAGACCTATAATGAGATATTTTAGAAACTGCAGATCTTTATTCCAACAACATACCAAGTTTCCTCCAATGTGGAGAAACCCAACACATACCATTTCTGGTTATTCGAGAGAACCAGACTCTCCACTCTTCCTATTCTTTTCAGAATGTACAAAAACAATGAAAAACTGCCAAAAACAATACTTTATAAAATTCTGAGACAATAAAACCTGTTATAACTGTCTTTCCCTTTTATTTCTCCTAATATAAATATTTCTCTCTAACCTATCGAAACCTATAGACTCAATAAGTAAAATCACTTTGATAACAACTTGAAGAGATTGAAAGGGGACTTTGAGAATTATTATGCATTTGCTTGAGTGAACTATAGTCAGCATATTTAGGACCATATACACAAAATATTAAGTACAATTTGTTCTGAGCAAAAAATAAAACCTAGAAGATCTCCTAGATTATGAAGACTTCAACACTCTTACAAACTACTTAATTAATTAATAATACTATGAAAGTTCCAACAGATATCAAAGGGTCCATTTGCTGCGTTATTTTCATTCATTATCCAATAGTTTTCGTTGTTGTTTTAGTAGGTTCAAAACAAAGTTAAAGGCAATGAGATAAAGTGTATATTTAATAGCCCAACCAAAGAAAAAATACTAAAAAATAACATAAAGTACCCAGTTAGTAGCATCCTTAGCCGTTCTTTCAATACAATATGATCTAGATCATCAACTTCGTGAATCTCCTTTTTCACCTTTGGAGTAGGAGAATCTAACTGAATAGATGCTTCTCGATCCTTGTCAACAGAACTCGAAGGAGTCTGATAGTCTTCAACCTTTATAGTGGCACAACCAGCAAAGGCAGAAAGTGTCGGACATTCAGCTAAAACGGTAACATTAGCACTGGTTTTCTCTACTCTGCTGTCATCAATTCCAAACATCGGACACGTTTCCTGTTGCAAATCAGGGCATAATCACAGTTGAGTCTCCTACAAGTTGCAACCAATGCAAATAACGTAAAACTGCCACTTCTAAACAGCTGTCACAATCCCGGAACTTTTTATAGAAAATAATTTTGATTGAACCCACCAATTATTAGAAAACTATTCTCTACTATACTTTTACAGCATTTTATCTGACTTCAAAATGACGCTGAACATATATAAAATTCCATGACATGACACCAGTGGTGGTAGTACCCTCCTATATTTATCGTCAAATATCATAAACAAATGCATATAAAAAGAAAATTCATCTATAAAAATTAAAACATGATTCAGAAGTTTTATTAAAAAGAACCGTGTCATAAAACAATAACTAATCATAGAGAAACCAAAAATAATCCACTAGGATATATTGTCATTAAGTGGCAGCTCCATGACCACCATGGCAGAATGGCACAGCAGATTTTTGACAAGTGCCAGAGGCAATTTATGATGGAGGCCCACTGTGGCAGCCAGGATATCCTTCTGTTGTTTAAAAGTATAAAACTGTTATAGAGAAAGAGAGAGAGAAAGAGAGTCATCCTCCATATTTTCTCCGTAACAGGCTAGTGAGACACATGAGAAACAACAAACTACTTCAATGCAATATGTCTAATCTCTCAAAATGTTTGACAATATTATAAGGTATCCAAGTCCCAAATCGAATAGTATGCATGTTCCGTGACGTATTTAAGTGTTTGGCGTTTACCCTTAGGTAGCATTTAAGGGAGGGTTCCTTAAGTGTTTGGGCGTTTGTCAGTTGATATCAAAGCAGGTTGTTAGTGTCTTGGAGAGGTCTATCCATGGGAGTTCTAAAAAGCAAGAAAGTTGAATGAAGTGTCATAGTGTATGAGTTGCTAAGATGTCAACTCTCGAGGGCAGTCCTATGATACAGACTTGGGTATTCAGGACTGTATAAATCCTACATTGAATAGTATAGATTGCTTGGGGGAGTATTATGTGTTTGGTTCTCTCCCCTTAAAAACTAACTACGGAGGGTTTCCAAGTGTTTAGCAGCAAGGGTTGTTCAACAGTCCAGTGTGCAACATTTTATTTTTGAAAAATTAAATGAATGGGCGGTGCTATAAAATGAAACCCATTAATATTGTGTGTAAAATGCTTTGGTAATAAAACATGAAATCAATTTAAACATCACCAACAGAATAGGTGGCATAGGGTTTACACTTATACAACCTGTGAGCTCTACAGTTGAGATTGACGGCCAGAGACGATGACAGCGAGATCGACTGCGACAGCAAGATCGACGGCAACGGCGAGATCGACGACGACGACACGAACGGTGCGAACGAAGGCAAGATCGAACGACGACAAGGAAAGCGTGACGGAGGGCGAGATCGACGACAGGATAGAGGGCGAACCTGATGAACGACGACGCGACAGAGGCGAGATCGAACGATGAGATTGACGGCGAGAGCACGAGAAAAGAGATGAACAGTGAAAACGAAAGCAGTGAATGAATCGGTTCAACGAAAGCTCAAAAAAACCTAATCTGGTGAGTCCTAAAAAAGTTTCTTTTCAAACTCGCAAAATCAGAACCCAACTCGCGATTTCAGGCGAGTTTAACGAGCGCCGATTCTATCGATCCCACACCAAAAACGACGCGAGTTCGATAACCATAATGGCAGGTGAAAAAAACTATGAGCCACTTAGCAACAAACGCTCATATATGTACATGAATTCGCAAACATTAACTATCCTCAAAAAGCACAAAAAGCAAAAATTAAAAGTCCAAAGCATTGTGCAAACTAACCAAATTGTTGGCTCGGGAGATACAAAAGTGCCTTGATACTGAAATACCTAAAAGACTACATTGGATGAGCTTAGAAATATTAAGGAATTGTTTTTCTTATCTCTTGTGTCAGTGTTACGATACTATCCAAGAAAGAGAATGTAAAATTAGGCAGGAACGAAAATACATGAGAATATAATAGATTGATAAGTCGAAGAATCGTCACAAAAACGTTAAGATGTTAACCTTTGATAAGAACTGATGTTCTAAAACAAAAACCAAAAGAATCTTTTTTTTATAAAAATCAAATTCAATATATAATTAAAGTTTCTACATAGGTTTTGGTCTCCAGATTATATAAACCATAAATGTTTAAAAAACCTTAAAAGAATGCCCAAAAGTCAAATATAAAATAGAAAATGAAAACATAATTTTCAGATGCAAAAGAAAGTCCAAAAACCAAACATAATATAAAATTGAAAACATAATTCAAAGAAATTTACAAATACTTTTATTTACATAAAACTATTCTATAACTATGCTCTATCAGTTATTATGTTATTTTGCGTAAGCTAGGATGATGATGCGGGTAGGGTCGTCAGCAGCAGTAATTGGATTATATAATTATGTTCCTCATAGGTTATCTTTGTCAATTTAAAATATGAATCTTTATTTTGTATTCTTCTTAGCTTTATGATGGTTGTAGAGGTTATTTACAGTATACATTAATTAACTCTACCAATCAGCGCTTTCATTCCACTCAATTCACTTCCCTCCCATAGAAAACCACCACCACCACCCTCTATGCCATCACTGAAATTTTCCATCCTCCTCAAGTTCATCAACTCCCACCATGTTTTTGTTTCTGCAATTAGTGGGCTCTTAGAATGACTTCCCACTTTTCATTTTCCTCCACCACTTCTTTGTTCTCTATATATGTCCCTGAACCCCTCACTCAATATTATTTCCTTTCAGCTTATCTCTATATCACATTTCCAAGGTACACACCCCAGCAATAATTTTTCAATCTTCCTTCTCCGTCATTGAATAACTTGACTATCCACAGCTGTCATTACATCTTGCCACTAGTCCAACCACTTATGTATGTCAATGCTTGCCTACACATGGCATCATTTCTCTATCCAAGGCCTCCTTTCCAACAAGGCCAACAGCCATCAGATCCTACTCAAAACCCCGTAGTCCAATCCCACCAAAATACAGGCAACACAAACCATATGTCTTCCCATTTTTCACTTGTGATGAAACCTGTTACCATTTCAGCTACCCTCAAATTCACATGCACCCCTGTAGCTTCAACCATTGGATGATTTGCCTAATGTCACCAAATCAAATTTGTTTGCTTCCCACATTTGCATGAACCTGATGCCACGCCTGAATCCCCAACAACCACTATTTCCATTTTGCAGAAGCTTCGACAACCATTAGATTATTGTCATTCATTGATGATGGAAGTTCCACATCCACTAGAGATAAGGTCAATTTAAAGTATATAAGTGGATGCAAACCTCACCTTACAAACCGGTTTTGTGGGGTTGAGTTAGGCTCAAAGTCAACTTCTTAACATGGTATCAGAGTCAGGTTAGAGTTTATCCTATCAATATTTGTTGTTTGTTGGGCATATTGTTTCACCTGCTATCGGACCACTCATTAGTGTCTAGTCTCACGCTCGAGATGTATATACCTCGACGTGAAGAATGTGTTGGAAGTCCCACATCGACTAGAGATAAGACCAATTTAGAGTATATAAGTAGGTCCAAATCTCACCTTACAAGTTGGTTTTATAGGATTGAATTAGGCTTAAAGTCCACTTCTTAACAATTGATCATGTGCTCCCATGTCCATCTCCTTTCGTGGTTCGGTTTTGCCTCAGAACCTTGAGGACACGCAGTAGCAAAAACCCCTAAACCTAAATGGTTAGAAGACTATATTGGACGTGCTTAGAAACTTAGGGTATTCTTATATAAGAATGCTTACACTTGTCGAGCCATAATTACCAGCAGTTAGATTATACAATTCTACTTCTTATAGGCTAGTCAATGAAAAACATGAATGTTTATTTTCATTCTTCTTAGTTCTCAAATGGCAGCATATAACTCAGTGCACCGAGTCATTCGACACGGGAAGAAAACATAAAAGCCCAATACAATTGAAAATTTTTAAGACTGAATAACCAGAACAACTAAAAACTCGGTCAGCAAACCTAACTTCACCATATATATATACCAAAGTAGGTCATTCAATAGACCTTCCTATATAATCAATTGCTCACACTCACATCAACGAAACTATATAAGAGTAAAAGTAACACTACCAGCTTATAAAATAATAATAGTAATTTATCAGAGAATGGAAATTATCGGCCTCCTTTTCACAACAACACCAAACTATAGAGAGGGCTCGCAAGCGAGCGACATTCGAGTGTCGTTTTGGAGCATTGGGGAATGCATCAATTTTCGAAGCTGTGACAAGGGAAGGTGCTCGAGGGAGTGGAGAGCACATTGTATTGAATTTGCGTCCGTAAAGCAATCAGAAATCATGTTGTTAACGTTCCATTTCAGGTGATAATTTGAGGGAGGGTTTCATTATTAGATTGGGGTTTGAAGTTTCGTTTGCATTTGCTACAAAAGGAAAAGAACACACACACCCCACACCCCACACCACACACCACACAACACACATCACACAACACACAAGCATTAAATAACTTGACTATTCATAGTTGTCATTACATCTTGCCACTAGTCCAACCACTTATGTATGTCAATGCTTGCCTGCACCTGGCACCATTTCTCTATCCAAGGACCCACCTTTCCAACAAGGCCAGCAGCCGTCAGATCCTACTCAAAACCCTGCAGTCCAATCCCACCAAAACACAGGCAACACAAACCATATGCCTTCCCATTTTTCACTTGTGATGAAACCTGTTACCATTTCAGCTACCCTCAAATTCACATGCACCCCTGCAGCTTCAACCATTGGATGATTTGCCTAATGTCACCAAATCAAATTTGTTTGCTTCCCACATTTGCATGAACTTGATGCCACGCCTGAATCCCCAACAACCACCATTTCCATTTTTCAGAAGCTTCGACAACCATTAGATTATTGTCATTCATTGATGATGGAAGTTTCACATCGACTAGAGGTAAGGTCAATTTGAAGTATATAAGTGGATGCAAACCTCACCTTACAAACCGATTTTGTGGGGTTGAGTTAGGTTTAAAGTCAACTTCTTAACATGGTATCAGAGTCAGGTTAGAGTCTATCCTAGCGATATTTTTTGTTTGTTGGGCATATTATATAAGAATGATTACACTTGTAGAGTCATAATTACTAGCTGTTAGATTATAGAATTCTACTTCTTATAGGCTATATTCGTCAATGAAAAACATGAATGTTTATTTTCATTCTTCTTAGTTCTCAAATGGCAGCATAGGTTATTTACACTAAATGGCTATTAATTCGTTTACATAATCCAAGTCTCCATGTCAACTTGTGATCTTAAACCATAGGTTTACCTGCAATTTCAATGCACCATCAGTAAAGCATATAAACAGGGCATCTGCCCTTGTTTATCTCCATGACTCAAAGATAATTAAAAGACACCAATCCAAATCATAACGAACTCAATGCACCGAATCATTTGACACGGGTAGAAAACATAAAAGCCCAAGACAATTCAAAATTTTTGAGACTGAATAACCAAAACAACTAAAAACTCGGCAGTAAACCTAACTTCACCATATATCTGCCAAAGTAGGTCATTCAATAGACCTTCCTAGATATTGAATTACTCACACTCACATAAACGAAACTATATTAAGAGTAAAAGTAACACTACCAACTTATAAAATAATAATAATAATAACAATTTACTAGAGAGTGGAAATTATCGACCTCTTTTTTCACAAAAGCACCGAACTGCAGATAGGGCTCGCTAGCGAGCGACGTTCGAGTGCCGTTTTGTAGCTTTGTGGAATGCAGCAATTTTCGGCGCTGTGACAAGGGAAGGTGCTCAAGGGATGGAGAGCACATTTTATTGAATTTGCGTCCGGAAAGCAATCAGAAATCATGATGTTAACGTTCCAATTCAGGTGAGAATTGGAGTGAGGGTTTCACTATTAGATTGGGGTTTGAAGTTTCGTTTGCTTTTCCTACAAAAGGAAAAGATCACACACACCCACCACGCACACCCACACCACACACCGCACACCACACACCTCACACCACACCACACAACACACAACACACACCACACGGTGAAAGCACATTCATTTTGTTGTATTTGGAGATAGTGATAAAAGATAAATCACATGATTATTTCATAATTTCATCCCATTATATCTATGAAGGTTTGAGGGTGATCAACAAGGTTTTAAAAAAATAACATCGTTTTAATATCATGTTTCATGTACGTACAAATATAGTGGGAAGCATTTTTTGCTTTCTTTTCATGGATCTCTAAAGGGTCTATGAGATAGGTTCATGGTAAGAAACCCATAACAAGAATGGAGGAAGGGTGGGTCGTATTGTGTAACTCCATTGTAACCAATATGTAACCACGTTTGAGCATTAAAATCAGTTTTTGGTTATATTGGAATTGATTCTGGAATTGTGTGAAGGAGATGGGATCGATTGCGAAGAAAGTTGGAACCGATTCCATGCAAATGCATTATGTTGGAAATCAATTCCCTTTAGCATGGAACCGATTCAATTCATGTTATAAGGCTCCTCCTGTTTAACCCATTTTTCATTCATTAACTTACTATTTTCTTCTTTTTTTCTACCAAAAGAATAATGTATCATTAAAAAAAAAATTTGATTAATATTTTAATGTATAACTTTGGTGTTTTTTTTCATAAAAAAATAGGCAAAATTTTTTCATATCAACACATGAGTTTCATTTGAATGTGTATTAAAACCCTACCTTGACGTGTACTTCAACTTGTGGTGTTATATCATTGATATGTTGCTCT